GTCAGCGAAAGAGGCCTGGTCGAATTAGGGAAGCAGAACCTGCTAGGAGGTGACAAAGTCGAAAAGTTGGAATTTTGTGAATCTTGTGTATTTGGTAAATCCTGTAGAGCGAAGTTTAACAAAGGCAAACAAAAAACACATGGATCCCTGGATTACATTCATGCTGATCTTTGGGGGCCTGCAAGGAATCCTTCACACTCAGGTGCAAGGTATTTTCTGTCCATCGTTGATGACTATTCCAGAAAGCTATGGGTATTCATTCAGAAGACGAAGGATGAAACTTTTGAGAATTTCAAAAGTTGGAAGATTCTAGTCGAAAATCAAACTGGCAGAAAGGTTAAGAGGTTGAGAACCGACAATGGCCTTGAATTCTGCAACGAAGCGTTCAACAGTTATTGTGTTGAGTCTGGGATTGCAAGGCATAAGACTGTAGCAGGTACTCCTCAACAAAATGGCTTAGCTGAGAGATTCAATCGAACAATCCTTGAAAGGGTTAGATGCATGTTGGTTAGTGCTGGATTGAAGAAGGTGTTTTGGGTGGAAGCTGTTTCGACAACAGCTTACCTGATAAATAGATATCCCTCGACTGCCTTGGGAATGAAGACACCTGAAGAAGTTTGGTTGGGACATCCACCTAGTCTCGACAGACTGAGAGTATTTGGTTGTGTGGCTTATGCTCATATTAGGCAAGACAAGGTCGAACCTAGAGCTCTGAAGTGCAGGTTCATGGGATACCCTGAAGGAGTCAAAGCTTATAGGCTATGGTGCCTAGAGCCAGGTCACAGGAGGTGTATCACCAGTCGAGATGTAGTTTTCAATGAAGCAGAGAATGCTTTCAAGAAAACTGATGATGCTGACAAAGAGCTGGAACAGGGAGAAATTCCTGTTGAGGTGGAGCATGTTGATGCTGAATTGCGTACCCCAGATGAAGTCGAAGAAGACACAGAAGATGCTGTCGAAGATGAGGAGAGTGATAATGACTACCTGCTAGTAAGAGACAGGTCGAGGAGAGTCATCAAGCCACCTCAGAGACTTGGGTATGCAGATCTTATAGCTTATGCCTTAATCTCTACTAGTGAGGTTCTAGATGAAGAACCTAGAGACTATAAGGAAGTTATGAGGAGTCGAAAGAAGAATGAATGGCTGAAGGCCATGGATGATGAGATGAAATCTCTTCATGATAACAACACTTGGGAACTGATCAAGAAACCTGTTGGATCCAGGTTAGTCAGTTGTAAGTGGATTTTAAGGTACATAAATGAGTCTCTGAATAGAGTCCTAATTTATGGTGGAGCCTTGGGTGAAGATAGTAAAGCAGCAATCGAAGGATATGTCGACTCTGATTATGCAGGTTGTATGGATTCCAAAAAATCTATCTCTGGATATGTGTTCACTATGTTTGGGACAACAATCAGTTGGAAAGCAACACTTCAGAAGGTCGTTGCCTTATCAACCACTGAAGCGGAGTATATTTCCCTAACTGAAGCTGTGAAGGAAGCATTGTGGCTTGAAGGTTTTTCAAAGGAGCTAAAACTTCAAGGTCGAGTTATCACTGTTAAATGTGATAGTCAAAGTGCAATACACCTGTCGAAGAATTCATCCTATCATGAGCGAACCAAGCACATTGATGTGAGGCTGCATTTCATCAGAGGGGTAATCGAGCGTGGAGAAGTCCAAGTGCTGAAGGTTTTGAGAGATCATAATGCTGCTGATATGATCACCAAGACGTTGCCCAGTTGCAAGTTTTTCCACTGTATGCAGTTAATAAATTGCATGAAGAAAACTAGTTTCTTGATGTTATAGAGTTAAATCCAAGGTGGGGATTTGTGAGATATTGGATCGAACTCTAGTATAGTCGAAGTCTGTTCGCGAGTAATGCGTGTTGTAGTTGAAGTTTGTTCTAACATGCATTAGTCAATATTGCTAAGGTTGTTAGCATGTTGAATTGGGCCTTGTTTGTAAGCCCAATTGTTTAAGTTAGCTTGTACTCTAAGTTAGCTTGTAATGGGTAATTGTTAAAAAGCCCATTAGGTTAGTGTGCTATTTTATTATAAATAGGATGCTAGTTTCTCAATCTTGGCATAAGGAAAAATAGGAAGATAAAATCCTAATTTCAAGGGAGAGAGGTTATTTTGTTATTCTTGTATACTTGTAATCTTGTTCTAAGAGAAAGGAAAGAATAGCAGTTTAGTAACCAATCCTTGTTGTTCTTTGTTGCTTTCTTCTTTATTAACCCTAACCCTTGTGTGTTTCTTGATAAGAAACGTTTATACTTTGTTTAAAGGTATCCGATTCACAACACAATTTCAACTAAAAAATAATCTATCTTACCCCTCGGTTTTATTGTAAAATGTGATGTATGAGACGTTAGTTTTGTAAATAATAAAAATGCAGATATTAAGGTTCAAATCCATGTGCAAATTAATTTATCCCTAAGTATTTAAAAAACTAAGGTGATAAGTCGTTACTTTCCATGAAGTCATTTGTTATCTCGCTACTGTAGCCGAGGTAAAATGTATTTTGCATCCGACGTTAAAAGCACTTTTTGTAGTAGTGTATGTCCAACACTGATAAAAGAAAACAGACATAACAAATAATAATTAAAATTTTTTATTCATAATAATTAAATAATAAATCAACAACAAATTATAATTTCAAGTATAATTGTAACAAACTCAAATAACCAGCAAACTGTATGGTCTTAAATATTGTCGCCACTCAAAATGTTGTATATAGGATGATCAACGCAATGCACTCCCAAGCCTAACTAGTAACGTTGAGGCTACTGAACAACCATACGTACCGAGTGTTAACATAAACACCTGACTTGTCTACAAAGTGAGTACATGTTATTAGATGTAGCATGTACGCCCTATCGACAACCTTATAACTCTGTGCTGCAACAACCTCGTCGTACCTATCTCGAAGCCAAGACATATGAAGGTGATCGCCTCTATTGAAGCCAAACTTCTTCAACTCGACCTCATTAAAAACTCCCAAATCTCGTGCAACAGTCAAACATTCAAGCGAAGAGCTAATAAAAGGAGCCATCTAGAATCCGTCGACGATGGAAAGATGGAACAATAAGGAGAAGTCATCTAGAGTGATAGTCATCTCCCCAAATAGAAGATGAAATTAAGATGTCTCCTTGTGCCATCTCTAAACAAAAGCAGTAAGTAGTGGAGCGTCGAACATGGTGAGGGAGCAGTAGGCAAAATCGAGGAGCTCAAACTCACGTACAATACATATGACCTCCTCAAGCATCAGAGTCTTCGGGAAGTCCTTCAACTTTGACTCGTGCGATGTCACCTTCAATAGGAGACGACCCTGTAACAAACAAAATTTAAAAAATTAGCAGTTAGCTTTCATGGCACAATAATAAAAAAAAAATTAAAGTTAAACATAAAAGATATATACCTCTCCTTGCCATAGTCGGTACACCACATGGTCGACATACTCAGTAAGCACCGACTGATCAATGAGTCCTCAAGAGAATCCTTCTTCAATGTGCACAAACAGCTTGGTCGAAGGAGTTATAACCTCTATGACAACAATATCAGATTGGACCAGATCAGCAACAACAACATCTGACCGAACCAACAAGTAGCAACAACAACATCTGGTTGGACCGCCTCATTTGCCACCTCTTCAGGAACCACTTCATCAGCAACCTCAACAATAATGTGTCACATCTTCCTCGACCGCTGGGTCATGAACATCCTGGGCATGCACAACCTCATCATCATCTATGGATAACTCAAATGATCTAACCACTCAACGTCAAGTGCTATGGGGTGCACAAAACTTCCTCTTCTCAACCAACCGTTTCCGGTGTGAACTAGTTGAAACCACTCGTCCAACCCGCATCTATGAAGACTCAGCCTTAGCAACCCTATCCTGGTCTGCCGCTTTGCCTGCAATAGTGTTGTCTCTGCCCTTGTATTTTATTGCAAAAGACGAACAAAATAAAAAAGATCAATAACTACTAGAAATTTCACTAAATTTAAAATTTTCCTAATTTTTTTCAGAAATTCTAAAATTTTTGATAAAAAACAAAGTTTTTAAAACTACTAGAAATTCTTAAATTTACAAAGATTTACAGGTGATTTTGTACCACAAATTTTGAAATCTTCGGTGAAAATGTTTTCATTGTTACGGAAAATTTTGAAATTTTCAATACATAATCACACAAATTTCATAATTTTTGATTAAAAATATATTGTTTTTCAAATTTTCGATAGACCAATTGAAATTTCTGATATTGTCCTAGAAAATTCAAATTCGTGCGTGAGAGGTGAATTTAGAAAATGAGTATAAAACTGTTGCAGAGGAGTATTATCTATTAATACGAAATGGGGGTGTCAGGTTCAAAGTGGTGGGTTGCAAGTTAAGTTCTGGAAATGAATTTCTCGGATTTTAATACTAAGCCCAATTTGTTTCCATTTGAAAAAGCCCATTTTATCAAAAAAAAAAAAAATCACATCAGACACTACCGTGCCCTTGTACGAGGAACTAGTTGGAGGAGTCTCACTGAACTCAACTGCCAGAGCTAAAGCTGGCCGGCAAAACAAGAACTCGCCGGGAAACTCAGGTGGAGTTGGCCGTTTTCCATCAGAAACTGCTATAGACCCGTCCTCCAGGTTATCATTTTTAATTTTTTTTCTTCTGATTTTACTTCCCATTTCTTGTTGCGCGCGAGGATGCGATTCCAGCACCATTTGCGGCTGCAATTGCCGTCTCTGCTAAACGCAACGCTTTGAGATTCAGTGCGATACCGGCGCAATGGATAACGTAGCTGCATAATCAGTTTTCCTTTTCAAAAATGAAACCAAACCAAACCCAATTTTAACGGAATCAATTTTACCTAGGAAGGATTGATTGGTGTAACTATACTAATTTTACATATGTAGTTTATGGTAATTCATTTTGATTTTAACTGTTTCATAAATGCAATTGATCTGATTTTCCAAGTTATTACGCAGAAACTAGCATCAATTTGGATGGGTTATATTCAGTATGGTAGACACGGTCTTAGGAATATATTTAGGTTTACAAATGCAAGCAATGTGTTCAGAAAATCCATGAGACAACCTTTGGAGTGTGCAGGCACTAGTACTACGTTACCCTTATGTTCCCGTGTTCACGGCAAGTGTCTCTATTCCACTTCTTCTGATGCCAGAATAGTGCAGGACCTTCTTGCTCAAGTGGAGAGGGATAGGCTGAGAGAGAAAAATGATAGAAAAAGAGCTGGTTTAGACACTGCCGACATTGATGCTGAGTCGGAGGAGGATTACATGGGTGTATCCTCCATGATTGAAAAGCTTGAAAAGGGGAAGCTCAAGGAAACCACTGAGTTGAACCGATTCGAAGAACAAACTGATTCTGATAGTGATGACGAAGACGTTGATGCTTATCAGAAGAAGTTTGAAGATTTTGAAAAGAAGTTCAAGAGACATGAAGAAATGATTCAGAGTTTTGCCGATGCTGATACGCTTGATGATGCTTTTAAATGGATGCAAAAAATTGATAAGTTTGAGGAAAAACATTTTAAGCTTCGTTCTGAATATAGGGTTATTGGGGAACTCATGAATCGCCTTAAAGTTGTAACTGAGCAAAAGGATAGATTCATTCTGCAGCAGAAGCTTAACAGGGCTTTGAGATTGGTGCAATGGAAGGAAGCTTACGATCCAGATAACCCTGCCAATTACGGTCTTATTCAACATGAACAGGTGGGGCCTAACGTCGATACCTTGCAACAATCTGGATTTGAAAAGGAGAATAAACCTGCACAAGGAGATGAAGATGCTGCAGCTGCTGACAGCGACGATGAAGAAGAGTTTGATGACATGAAAGAAAAAGACAACATAATACTGGCCAAACTTGATGTTATTGACAAGAAACTCGAGGAGAAGCTAGCTGAACTCGAGTATACGTTTGGAAGGAAGGGTAAAGCTCTCGAGGAAGAAATTAGAGATCTTGCAGAGGAGAGAAACGAGTTAACTGAGAAGAAAAGAAGACCTCTTTTCCGGAAGGTAGTTTCACACTTGTCCAATTCTCTGATTCTGTGTTGATATTTTGGACCATATCACTGTTTACCTTATTATGTGTTTACTATTACTCAGCTTATTTTATATAAAGTAAGGCTCTTCTAAAATAAACTTGTCTCAGAAGTAAGGAAGTAGGGATGTATCAATCCTTGAGTTTTAGTTGGTTAAAATCACAGTTCATTTTAAATGAATTGAAGGGTGGATATATTCTCACGTTAGAGACAAACTCAGTAAGAGATTTGCTCTTTTTATACCCGATCCACAACCTTCTGGGAAAACTTTTGGTCGCGCCTTTTGCTTTAATCATCAGCCTAGCAAGCTACTTTTTTTTTTTGTACTCGTAGAAAAAACACTTAATTTTCTGTATCTCGTCCCACTGTAGTGGAGCGGGAGTCTAGCGAAAGATGGCATGACCACATGGTCCCCATCCATTGTGGAGGATCAATTTCAGGCAGAGTGTTACCTTGCATATGCAAGCAGCTGATTTCATGACCCGAGTCTGTATCCTCCCGTCATATGGCAGAAACTCCAGTTGTTGATTGATTACATTGTGTGTAGCATGGGCTCTAGCCTGCAGGGCTACTGTTTTTATGAGTTTTCTAGTTTGTTTTTTGTTCCATAACTCATTGATTTAGGTTTACGTTTATATAAATTTTAATACCTTGTCCTTTGATTATTTTTTTGGGAAATTTGTTATTTTTCTTTTCTGAAACGCAATAATATTTTTTTTTTTTATGACAATCTTTCATTTTTATAAGCTAATGCATGTTAAAGTTCTAATGTTCCATACGTGGTGCACTTTTATTTTGCTTGTGTCTATAAATGTGAGTTAATTTTCTCGTATTATTATTTTGCTTTAATTGAAGCTCACTTACCATTTTTACTTTTTTTATAACTGTTATGGTTGCTGTATATTGTTCCAGGGTTTTGATGTAAAATTGATAGATGTGAACCGAACTTGTAAAGTCACAAAGGTAACCTACAACTTTATCCTTTCTTCTATGTTTTTCCCAGTTGCTCTCATGTGTTCTTAGTTGGTTCAAATCTTTTGATCTAGGGAGGACAAGTTGTCAAGTACACGGCTATGTTAGCATGTGGCAACTATAACGGTGTTGTTGGTTTTGCAAAAGCCAAAGGCCCTGCAGTTCCAGTTGCCCTCCAAAAGGTACTGACCATATCTTACTAGGTCTTTCAAGTCATCCTGGTTTGGAACTCTATTATTTTTTTCAATTGGTCTGTGTTCAATGTAGATTTTTTCTTGCTATTTCACTACCCACTGAAGTATATGGATCTATTTCTGCTTCATTTCCTAATAGATGCTAGCTTATTATATTATTGATTCATGTTTTTCCTGAGATTTTTATTCGCTGTTATACCGGGGACTGTTCTTTGGCCAATGCTATGATGTTAGATTGATATAGGTTATTGTCAAAAATGTTCAATAGAAAACATCTGCATTATGGTTCTTTCCACGAAAGCTTATCCATGTCTTATGCATTGCACACCAATTTCTTCAAACTTTTTCTGTTTCAACTAGCTTGAAACCAAATCAACTAATATATTTTGTCCATTATTATGAACTGTATCTTAAAAGTTTCCACTTCTTATCATTCATAGCTCTTGAGTTGCAGAAGTTGTATTAGCTGGTTTTCTACCTATTCTAACTAGCAAGTATTATTTAGATTTTCAATTATGTAGTTTAATAAATTTATCCAAATGAGTTGACTGGATTTTTGAATCAACAAGTGGTTTTACTTTGCCATAATCTGAAATCCGATTTTCAGTAATAATATTTTAAATTTTGTGTATTCTTGAATTTGGCTTTTAAAATCATTGCCAAAACATTAAGTTTGAGCAAAAGTTTATGTTTTATCTTAAAATAAACTCATGTGCGCCATGTTTAATGCAGTTTGATGTTTTTAGAGTTTTGTTTTGATAGCATATTGAACTAATGGCTTATTTCACTATAATCAGGCATATGAGAAGTGCTTTCAGAATTTGCATTATGTAGAGCGACATGAGGAGCACACAATTGCACATGCAATACAAACATCTTATAAAAAGACCAAGGTAGTCTCAATTCCTTATCCGTCTAGTAATTCTCCCATTTACATCATTAAGTTTCTGTCTGCTATGAAAAAAGAAAAGAAAATCTAGTTATTTTGTTATAAATGAGTACCGGATGAAGTTATGCTGCCTGTGTTTATCATGTATGTCTTATACTTGTCATCTGCACGATTCAATAGGTGTATCTCTGGCCTGCATCCACTGCAACTGGCATGAAAGCTGGTAGAATAGTCCAAACCATACTGCATTTAGGTGGTTTTAAGAATGTCAAGTCAAAGGTAACAGACTGACCGAAAAAGATGAATATGATACTGCAATTTTAGTGTTTGCTCTAATTTTCATCATCGTCACAGGTTGTTGGTTCCAGAAATCCTCATAATACAGTTAAGGCTGTCTTCAAAGCACTTAATGCGGTTAGTTACCCATTTTTGCCTATGTTGCTAGCAAGCATTTTAATTAACTTATTACCTATGACATTTTATTTGACATTGCTTGTTTGTTCCAGATTGAAACACCAAGGGATGTTCAAGAGAAGTTTGGCCGAACTGTGGTTGAGAAGTATTTATTGTGATGTGCTGAGTTTAGTGCTTCTGGTTGTTTTCCATTGAACATAATTGTCATTCCCATGTCTACATGCCAAGAAGAATTGCTAGACAGTTTCTCAAATGCATTTCCTTGTGAACGTTACCTATGGAATTTTGCCAATACTTTTGATTCATTAATGCAAAAGGAACAATAATTTAGGAACGCTCTCTTTGTTTTTATGTTTGATCAATAAGGTTTCTGTTAAAACAGAGGGGAGAAATTTTAAAATATTGTATTTGGTTCGACTATGGGAGAAAATTTTCACCATTATAATAATGGAACCAAACAACGAGTTGCTAGGAGGCCTTGAGGAGGAAAATCAACATGGAAAGGGTTCATGATGATTTTTTATTCTTGCGTGGTTGCGTTGTCATTGTCACCGTCGGATATTTCATTAAGCCATCCCAAAATCTTGACAATTCTCTCTATATGTTATCTACTTTATAATTCTTCTACATACCTTTACCAAACTTAAAAATACACCTATTCACAAAGGACAGGGCATTACTTCTCTCACCTTATTGATTAGTGGTGAAGAATTCTTTATTAAAACACCAATATCCGGTTAATTTTTGAAGTACATTTTTGGTTGCATCAATTTCTCACCAACACATGTTTTAAGTGATCCACACTTTTATTTTTTCAAATTTTAGAACGATCTTGTGCATTTGACAAACTAGTTAATAATATAGAAGTTTACTTACGTATTTGTTAAGCAGAATTTTGAAAAAAAATATATCACTTTGCATATATTTTTCAATTCAATAACTAGTTCGTAAGTGCTTTCTCAAAAATATCAAATGAGAAATTTAACAAAAAAACACTGTCTTGTATGTTTGCATAACTCATGATGAAAAACACCATTTATTCTTCAAATTCTACTAAAATTGCTTTCTACACTCAATCAACTTTTTTATTTCAAAACAACATTTGTCTGTTTTTTTACATCAAAAGAAGTAAAAGAAGCCGAAATTTAAGGTAATGTACAAGTATTTTCTTTTTCATTACTTACATTAATATAATTTTCTCTTTGAGAAAGTAAACGTTGCATCCAGAAATACATTTTCGGATTATTGTTAAATGTCATCGGGAACTGATTTTCAAATTTCGAAGTTGAATTTGACCAGTTTTTGAATATTTATGATTCGCCTTAGATATGGCGTACCTTGATGTTGTCTCCCAATCTATTGTATCTACATATGTCAAACCGATTGATGTCAAGGTAGATATTCACAAACAATTTACAAATGAATAGGAGTTTGTTGTTCGTAATCATATGTGTTGGGTCATGAGGGGGTCTGAGGATCATCACCTTAGCCTTTAGGAGCAACCACATAAGTGAGAGACACCACATATTAATCCAAAACCTTAAGGTAAAATGTTTGTGTGTGTGTGTGTTTTCTCTCACTTATAAAGTATTCAACATTCACTTTTTCTTCTGATCTGAAACTCATACTCACACTTGATATACCAACAATCTCCCCCTCAGGTGTGATTCAATCCATTCTCATGGGTATGCTCCTCCTTAAATGAAAGCTTTTTTCATTCATATCTACTTGCATCGTCGTTGGATGACATCAACGAAACATGTCGCCCGAATACCCTTGTCAGGTAGACTTTCGATATAAGGAACCCTAGTCGAACTAGGCTCTAATACCACAATTGGGTCATGAGGGGGTTCGGGGATCATCACATTGAACTTTAGGACCAACCACACAAGTGAGAGAGACACCACCTATTAACCTAAAATCTTAAGGTGATAGGTGTGTGTGTGTGCGGGCGCGCGTGTTATCTCACTTATAAAGTGTTCAACATTCACTTTTTCGTCTGATGTAGAACTCATACTCACACTTGATATACCAACAATATGTTCTAATGGATCTACGTGAAGGCTATCAAGTTAGGGTTCAACGTTGTAATCAAAAGGCCATGTAATGGTTCAGATAGAAGACATGCATTTGTGACACTGAGATGCGAAAGAAGTGGCAAATACATAAATTATATTCGGAAGTTGAAATCGAATGACATCGGTACAAGAAAATGTGAATGTCCTTTTAAGTTGCGTGGATAACTTATGATAAATAATACATGAAGATTTAATGTGATTATTGGTATACATAATCATGACCTGTTTCGCAAGTTAGTCGGTCCTCCCGTTACATGTCTCTTTAAGGATGAGGAGAAGGAAAATTTGACCAGGCATTGAACATGGTGCAACCTAAAAATAACTTGCAACTTTGAAACGAAAATAACATCAAAATATCTCAAAAATATCAAGCAAGTATACGATGTTTGTGCCAGAAACAACAAGACGACGATAAGAGAGGATAAAACTGAAATGCAACAATTGTTGAAACTTTTGGATGATACCTGTTGCAGTGAGAATCGGATATCAAGTTATTGTATTAACTTGAATCACAAAATATTGAAGTTCACCACCAAACTTTAATTTATCCAAATGAAGGGGAAAAGATCGAATAAAACCCTAAGTGTGCAATGTAACAATGATGCTTAGAGATCTAAGGTTCAGGGGTTGGTTATACTAAGGGAAGGTATTAGCACCCTAAGTATATTTAGCACTCTATAGGAATCTCTTGTTGTATTTGTGTTATGTTATTTTTTGTTTTCTATTGATTGAGAATGTTCTATGGAGAAATACCTAAAAGTATTGCTATGTATGCTCGCAAAGAATTCACGGTCTTATGCCTACGTATCTTGACAAGGATGGAATCAGAGCAATTGTAGTTCACCTAAACAAGGGTGATGAGCACTTTATAGTGATCATGGTTCAAAGGAGAAGGTAAGTATTCATAACAATAACACTTACATAGAGTCTACAACTCTATTCCAAGGCTAAGTTGAAAAGTTGGCGACTCTAACAAGGTCAAAAGGGGAAATGAGGTAAGGCTAATATACCTATGACTTAAATTTAACAACAAAAAACTTTCCTTTGGATTTGGAAACAAAATAAAATAAAGAAGGATGAAGGATAATAAGCTAACATCACTTAGGGGTATTTTGACAAAGTTAAAGTAAGCATAAATAAGATGAGTGAATATGGATGAGATGAACAAATATGATATTCAAAACTGATATCAATTGCAGGTAATATTCAAACATGATATTAAACAAGGTATCAATATAAGTGAGATGGTTCTAATAAGATCATAACATTCATGTGACATGGTTCTAACAAGACCAAAACATTCATGAATGAAAAAAAGGATTCAAGTTTACAACTAGGATAAGCAAGGATTAGTGTTTGCTAACACCACTTAATCATGAATACAAGATAAAACATGGATAAGTCATAACAATACTTAAACACGGTGTCATTCAAAGTTTAAGGCAAACATGTATAAGTCATAACAATATTTAAACATGGATAAGGTTGAAACAAGCATGGATAAGTCAAGACATTACTTAAACATGGATAAGGTTCAACAAGCATGGATAAGTCAAAACATTACTTAAACATATATAACATTCAAAAGTTAAACATGAAAAACAAGTTAAGACATCACTTTAATCATGCAAACAAGTTTGGACATGGTTCAAGACATAGGTAACAATCTAAAGTACATGTGAAGATTCATGGTGATCACATTCAAGGATTAAAACATCACAAAGATTTGGTCATGGCAAACATACAAGTTATGAATCATGTAAAGACGTGTCATTAAAGTTAAAGCTATTTATGAACACATGAAGAAAAGTAGACAACCACAAGTACTTATATGCATACAGATGTTCAAGGAAGTATGAAAGAATTGACAAATATCATGGCAAAAATCAAGAAGAAAACTTCACGGTCATACATGGAAAACAAGTTCATTTGTACATGAAAAAGAATGCATTTAAGTACATTAAATTTAATAAAAAAAAACTCAAGGAAAAATGTTATCAACATAGCACAAGGTCCAAACATGGTATACCACACTCACACAAGTCAATATGGTCAAGAGAAATCAAGGAATAAGTAAAAGAATTCAACTAAGGACCAAAATAAACCTTAAAACGCCCATAACTTTAACTATACATAAGCATATAAAAAATAAATATTTTATGGAAATTAAAAATACAAAAATAAAATAGGCAATGTAAGGAGAAAGTAGAAAAAAGAGTGGCTCAAAAAGGCCAAAGGATCAATAAGTTATGATCTTTCAAAGTTTGTGAAGAAAACATAAAAAATAAAGTAATAAAAATAAGGTTTTTGCCTTGGAAGGGTTTAAACCCACGTTGACAAATATCATGGCAAAAATCAAGAAGAAAACTTCACGTTCATACATGGAAAACAAGTTCATTTATACATGAAAAAGAATTAAGTACATTAAATTTAAGAAAAAACTAAAGGAAAAATGTTATCAACATAGCACAAGGTCCAAACATGGTATACCACACTCACACAAGTCAACATGGCCAAGAGAAATCAAGGAATAAGTCAAAGAATTCAATTAAGGACCAAAATAAACCTTAAAAAGTCCCTAAATTTAACTATACATAAGCATATGAAAAATAAATATTTTGTGGAAATTAAAAATACAACAATAAAATAGGCAATGTAAGGAGAAAGTAGGAAAAAATGGCTCAAAAAGGCCAAAGGATCAATAAGTTATGATCTTTCAAAGTTGTGAAGAAAACATAAAAAATAAAGTAATAAAAATAAGGTTTTTTTATATTATCTAACCCTAACCTCTTTCAAGTTGGTCTTTGTTAAGATACATATGAATTAGGGTTTCACACGGTCAAAATCAAGAATTCTATGGACTGATCAGTCAAAGTTTTGGATTGATCTTCTACATATCAAGTCTTCATATTATCAAGAGGTTCATATATTGCCAATAACAAGTGCTATTTGAGATTGTTACTAAGAGGATTGAAGCAGTGCTATGCAAAATCCTAATTAGGGTTCCCAGCTAAAAAAATCAATTGTAGTTTGACTTTTGGTCTAAATGGGTTTCCAAAGCTTGAACCATGGTCCATGAT